TCGGAATATTTTTTATTGTTTTTTTATTTATGTATGTTACCGCATAACTTTGGACGACGTCAACCGATTTCGATAATTCTTTTTGCAACGGAAAGGAAGTGTCTCAGAGGTGGTCCCATACTAATTTGGTTTAGATCCGATCATCGAATCATGAACTATATAGATATACAGTGAAACCTCCCTTGGGCGGACACTCACCGTCAGTCATTTTTTGTCCGCCCAAGAGAGGTGTCCGCTCAATGGGAGGGAAGCTTATTTTAGAACGTTTTAATGTTTTCATTAATAGAATAGTCACTATTTCTTATTTGAAAAAAAGATTTTGATATTACATCGTTCAAACAAAAATGTGCATGTATTTTTTCAAAAGTGCATATTTCATTTATGTGCGTAAGTTCATATAAAGTAATAACAAAATAAAAAAAAAATATTACATTTAAGTCCATAAACTACATAAAACCATAGACTCATTACATAAAAAACTGGAAAGTTGTCGATTGACGTAAGTTTAATTTTTAATTTCATTCAGTGTCAGTACCTTTTTCATCAATAGTTTTCATGTTTTTATCAGTAACAAAACCCAACTAGAAATCTAAATTTTCGGCCCATGTATTATTACACGCGATGCGCAAGGGTGAACACACCAAAACAGCGACACTTAGAAATTACCACCAGAAACAAACTAGAAGACTTTGAAATTATTTTTTTTTTTGTATTATATAACTTGGGAGTCTAGATGTTATTAAAATGTTAAAATATTAGTTATTATTTGCTCCATATGCAAGTGATCGGTATTTTCATAGCACACGCGCCATCATGTTCTGCACGACTGCATCATCGACTTTACGCGATGCGCACAACTACTTTGTTTTACACTCTTCAATATTTTTCACAGTTTCACCTGTTTTCTTGAAGATTCCTTTGACAATTGACCAATATTCCCCAATAGGACGTGGCTCTGGGCTATTGGGTGGATTGCAGTCGTGAGGTACAAAATTGATGTTATTTGCATTATACCACGGCAATGTGTCCTTGGCATAGTGGCAGGTTGCCATGTCCGCCTAGAACAGTGGCCTACTCCTTATCTCTTGATAAATGACAGAAGACGCCTTTTGAGACACTCATCCCGATAAACTTGATCATTCATTGTCCCGGATGGGAAAAAGGGCTGCTCTTACGGCCACAGGAACAAATAGCTTTCCAAACCATGTGGTTTTTTGGAAATTTGGACTTCGTTTTCAGCTTAAAACTTTCAGGGGCATCTTGACGACTTGCGCCAGTATAAAAATCTTGACATGCAATATATTTTGAATTTTTATAGCAGTAGGTTTCGTAGTCCATAACAATTCAGTTGTATTTTTTAATTTAGAATTCATACATCTTCCGAATGCGGGATTTCGCTGTAACATTCTACTTTGCGCCTCGGTCTGGCGGTATTTGAGCTGTAGAACATCTCAATGAAGCTTTCCGCTTTACCTTTTGTACGAAAAACTGCGATCTCCGTACGGATTTTGCAACATAACGCGACAAAATCTTCGGATCTCGCGAAAACGCACTGAGGACTTCCGAGCACTTTTTTTATCACTTTGACCATGCTAACCCCCGCTCCCTGATTTTCTCGTAACTGCCAGGCCTTATTTGTACCGATTAAAATCCTGCAAACTGTCGAATAGTGCAATCTTTAATTTTTTAGCAATTTTACGTGTACTTAAGGCCGGATCATTTATAAACTCGTGCAAAATGGTTTGTCTCGTTTCTAACTCGGTTGCCATTTTTAACTCAACTAGGAATCAAATTCAAATGAAATTTCTTCTACGTCCAACTAACGTCATGGTCAGCTTATGGCATTTGAATTTCAAAATATTGAATTCGTTTTGGGTAAGTTATAAGCTTCCCAAAGTGTCGCAGTTTTGGTGTGTTCACCGTTTATTCAACTATAGATGTACATACATATATTCAAATTAGCGAGGGAGAGAAGAGGAAAGACATACGCGAAGAAACTAAACAAAAACATCGAACTAAGCGTATTTTATTTGAATTTTGTATTTTAAATATTTTTGACTGTATGTATGTATCACCAAAAAAAATTGCGGTTTTTCCGCCCGGATTATAAAATCTATTATATTTTAAGACGTCCACCAAAATATTTCGGAAAAATGTTAAGATTTAAGCGAGTTGGGCCGATTTGAAAATACCTCCAAAAATGAAGTTTTTTATAAATAAAAATAGTTTCTTAAAGAACTTTTTGAAAAAAGTCAACTCAGATGACAAATTAGATTAAGCTTAAAAAATCTGCATAAAAATATTTAAAAATCTTTTCAACGGAATCATAAGAAAGAGATTTTTGATGCCGTTTTTTTACTCTTTTCAAAGATTGGTTTACGAAAAACTTGAATAACTGGGCCAAAAATGTTCTGATGTAGGCTTATGATCCCAGAAAGGTATTTTCACACTGTTTTTATTTCTGTTTTTTTCGAATACCAACACAACTTAATTCAACTTTGAATGACGTTCGTTCATCCTACCTTTCTCTTCCATCCTTTGAATGAGTTTATAGAAAGGGTGAGAAAATACCTTTCCAATGACACCTCTTAAGTCTAAATCGGAAGAGTTTAGGTTCAGTTATTCATGTTTTTCCTATACCAATCTTTGAAAAAAGTTAAAAAACAGCATCAAAAATCTCATCATTACGATTCCGTTCAATTTTTATTTTTTTTTTAATATTTTTATGCAAATATTTTAAGCTTAAACCGTTTTGTCATTTGAGGGGATTTTAAAAAAAAAAATCTTTAAGAAACTATTTTTAATCATAAAAAAACTCCATTTTTGGAGGTATTTTCAAATCGGTCCAGCTCACGTAAATCTTAATATTTTTCCGAAATATTTTGGTGGATGTCTTAAGATATAATAGATTTTATAATTCCAATGGAAAAATAGTACCGATTTCTTTTTTGTATGGCGAGTGATGCAGTCTAATGTACATGCATACATATGTAGATACTAAAGTACTTGTACATATGTACGTGAAGCTAATGAAATAAAACATCAAAGTAGGCACAGCTGATTTATAAATTCTGTCTCTCACGGAAATCCCAACAAATGTAGCCTATGTACATTAGGGTGGCCCTTTAAATGAAATTTTAAGTCTCACCCCCTCAGTCGCTAATACAACGGTCAAAGATATCACATATAAATTTTAGTCCCGATTGGAGACGGTTACGGCGTGTCGCACAGGGGTCAAAGTTCAGATTCCTCTATGAAGACTGAAAAAATTTAAATAAATTTTTTGTTTCATCTAATACCCAAAATCGGTACTTCTGTAGGCGCAGATATCACGTATAAATTTTGGTACTGATTGGAGTCGGTTAAGGCGTGTTGCACAGGGGTCAAAGTTCAGATTCCCCTATGGAGACTCAAAAAATTTAAATTAATTTTTTTTCATCTAATACCCATAATCGATACTGCTGTAGGCGCAGATATCATGTATAAATTTTGGTCCCGATTGGAGTCGGTTAAGGCGTGTCGCACAGGGGTCAAAGTTTAGATTCTTCTATGGATACTCAAAAATTTAAAATGGAATAAAAATAAAACAAAAAAAAATACAATATTATGTAAAGCAGTGTTTAGTTAAATTTCGGGACCACTGAATTGATACAAGTGTAGTAAATATTACCGTGTAACAAATTGTCTGTTAAATGGGAAGCTAAGCGGTTTTTGTCAGTTTTATATAGAACTTAATTATAAAAAATAAAAGTAAATTATTAAGTTGTCGAGAAGTAAAGTCCTCTCTCGTCGTACAAAAATTACCCTCTATAATATATATAATTAATTTTCTTTTTTTAATTTTAAATTTTTTGAGCATCCGTACAGAAATCAGAACTTGGACCCCTGTGCGACACGCCTTACCCGACTCCAATCGGGACCAAAATTTATATGTGATATCTTCGGCGTTAGTAGTATCGATTTTGGGTATTAGATACAAAAATATTAAATTTTTTGAGTCTCCATAGAGGAATCTGAATTTTGACCCCTGTGCGATACGACTTACCCTACTCAAATCAGGACCAAAATTTATATGTGACATCTTCGACGTTAGTAGTATCGATTTTGGGTATTAGATACAAAAATATTAAATTTTTTGAGTCTCCATAGAGGAATCTGAATTTTGACCCCTGTGCGATACGACTTACCCTACTCAAATCAGGACCAAAATTTATATGTGACATCTTCGACGTTAGTAGTATCGATTTGGGGTATTAGATGAAAAAAAATATTAATTTTAATTTTTTGAGTCTCCGTAAAGGAATCTGAACTTTGACCCCTGTGCGACACGCCTAAACCGTCTCCGATCGGGACCAAAATTTTTGTGTGATATCTTTGACTATATTAGCATCGATGTGGGGGTTGACGTTTAGGAAATCTGATGTAATAATGTACTTAATACATTTAAGGACCCCCCTAATGTACATACATGTTCACATATGCAAACAAAAAAGTATTAGCTCCTTACGCTTTTTGAATACAGCACCTAACAAAAAAAAACTATTTATTTGTCAATGTTATTGTGGCTTGTTAACATTTTATTTTTAATATTTTTATTGAGCTTTGTGCCACGTGCTGAAGTCTAGAAAAAAGAAGTCTGATGAGGAGATGTGGTGATTTCCGAAATAGTGCTATAACTTCTACCCCTTAGACTTTGTTGCTTTTTCAATTTTTCCTAATAAACAACCGTGGTACAAAGCCCAATAAAAATATTAAAAAAAAAACTATTTTGAAGAAAGAGCGCCTTCACGTTTTATATGTACATATGTTAGGTATTAATTTTTAAATAGGCAGCCCCATTAAAAATATAAAAGCTTATCCGGGGATCATGCTCTTTCACTTGGTACCTCATTTTTTAGTACAATGAACTTTGAAAATCTTAGTATTTTTAGAAAGGTGGCCACCCTACTCAAAAAATAATAGAGTATTGAACATCTGGAGGCCAAGCGCTTTCACTTAACATCTCACTTTTTGTATTCATACCATGTTCAAATGAAACAGTAATTTTTAAATAGGTGGCAACCCTGCTCAAAAAGTAATACATTATTGAACATCTAAGAGCCGAGCCCTTTTATTTGAAACCTCATTTCTGGTAATCCAACGAACAGCGCGGGTCTTATAATTTTTTAGACAGGTGGAAACCCTATAGGAACTCAAAGTACCAAAGATAATATTCCTATCGATATAGATTATACTTAAAAAAATCTAAATCTCTAAATCCGTTCAGTAACGTGGTCAAATATCTCAACTTTCCTTTATACTATGTATAGAAGATAGTAAGTTTAAATAGGTGGCAACCCTACTTAAAAAATAATAAAGTTTTTGTACATGCGAAGGCCATGGACGTTCATTTGGTATCTCATTTTGTAATCCAACGAACGGCGAAAATCTTTTAACTTTTTAATAAGTGGCAACCCTACTCAGAAAAATAATACATTATTGCACATGTCGAGGCTAAGTCTTTTCGTTTGACAGTGACGGTACAGAACTAATGCCTACGCTTTTTATGATTGAATATATTAATCTTATTAACAGGTGGCTACCCTATTAAAAAAAGTATTGGTGCTTTTCTACACCCAAAAAAAAACTTATCTTAATTGAAGAAAACCAGCAATCAAAATGAAGAAAAATGGGAACGAAACAGCACTAAAGCAGTTTTATCCTCTTTTCATGTCCAACATTTCTTCAAAATGATAGATTATATCCACGGTTCCATATTTTCGTGTACGTTTTTATACATTCCAAAGAAAAATTACGCATTCGGGAGAATTTTTTACTCATTCGGAATAATTTTCGACCTTAAAGTAAGGAAAGTTTTTCTTTGATCCAGAAATGGATTTTTGGTTCAGTGTATAGGCCAATCCCTTTCATTTGACACCTCATCTTTTGTAATCCAATGAACGGTGCGGATCTTATAGTTTTTTAGACCCTACCTACCCTATTAAAATTCTAAGCAAAGAAAGATCCCTCTCCCGTCGATACAGAGTATATTAGAGAAAATCTCGTCAAAATTCGTTCAGTAGTTTTAGAGATTACCGCGTACAAAGAATCTCGACATTCCTTTATACTATGTATAGATATTTTGCAATTCGCCCTTCAGTCCAATGGCGAGAAAAATGGAAAAAAGAGCAACAGTGTTCGTCGAATCGACGAAGATTACCTGTTCAGGGATAATCAACTTAAGTCATCGTTTTTATTACTTAAAAAGTTTATAAATTACACTGGTTTACAGCAAAAATGTTCTATAGATGCCACCATCCAATTCCTATGTAGAATTGCTCGGTGATACCGAACATCGAGATAACTTTTTTTTCTATGGATAACTTTTCGAGATATTTGCAATTTACCGTTATCCAGCTTAAAAACTAGTGGTTTCACTTAATCACGAAGATGTACGAACCAATTGAATATCGTGATACGGGATACGGGAAATCAAAGCAAATAAAATTCTCCATAAACCGTATATGGGGCGTTCCATACCAAAATGGACGGGGTTCACTCTTCATGTTGTAAAGCTCATACCGCCCATGGTTCCATCGTCTCCGGTACTCGCCGTCGCCAACACGTAAAGGCCCGTAAATCTTCCGCAAAATCTTTCTCTCGAATACTCCCAGAGCCGCCTCATCGGATGTTGTCATTGTCCATGCTTCTGCGCCACGTACCAGCACGGGCATGATGACTGACTTATAGAGTGTGGTTTTCGTATGTCGAGACCCCTCATGAATTGCCTTNATCCTAACTAAAGTAAGTAATGGAAGCGTTCATGGTAAAAGTTATGAAATCAATCATATATTCATGGAGGAATTGGAGCTATTGGAAAAGGGGCGTGGCACCTCACACTGTATATCTCTGGAAATTTTCATGGTAGAGTACTGGAACTTGGTATGGAGGTCATTGTATATGAAATCAATCGCACACTGTTGAGAAAAATTTGAGTGTTGTAAAAGCGCGTGGGCCCTCCCATACAATACGAATTATTCATACTGCATTTCTCTGGAAGTGTTCATGGTACAGCACTGGAACTGGGTGCGGAGATATATGAAATCAATCGCATACTCATGAGGAAAAATTCGGACTATTTGAAAAGGGAGCGTGGCACCTCCCATATAAACCGAATTTTTCATAATAAGTATCTCTGGAAGTGTTTATGGTAGAGTACTGGAACTTTATACCAGCGTGGTACCTCCCATACAAGTCGAATTTTTCTTATTGCATATCTCTAGAATTGTTCTTGGCAGAGTACTGGAACTTGGTGTGGAGATATATGTATGAAATTAACCGCATAGTCATTGAGAAAATATGGAGCTATTGGAAAAGAGGGCGTGGCACCTACCATACAAGCCGGATTTCATACCATATCTCTGGAAGTGTTCATGGTACAGTACTGGAACTTCGTATGGAGATATATGAAATCAATCCCATACTCATGGAGAAAAGTAGGCTCTTTGAATGTGTATATAATTCTTCTGTAGGTACGTTTGTGAGTGAAATCCTAAATAGCTGGAGGGATTTCAAAAAAGTTGTGTGTGTGTGTTTGAGTGAGTCTCTGGATAGTTTAGTTTCACAATTTAACCCGCCAGTTGGCGCTGGAGTTGAGTTATTACTAAAAATCTTTTTTTTATGATCCGATTTCACGATATTCAAAACACGTATTGAAAACTGTAAAGCAAGTCCAATTGCAAAAAAGAGATGTGAGGTGATGCTGAGCTTGAGTTATTACTAAAAATCGACAAGTGAGAAAAGGTGCCGTGAATGTCAGACTAAATCGACCTGTTGCACCATTACGTATATCGAACTCTCGTATATTTAGGGATGCAAATGATGCATCGTTATTTTTGAAACATCGGGTTGATTTGTGCAGTGGTAAATCCCAAACCAATTACCTGTCGAAATACCTCAAAAGCCAGTTTAATAAAAGCAATTTAATAAAGATTTATTTTTTTAATTGAATTTAATACAGAACCTGACAGCAAAAAAAAATTTTTCACTTAAATTGCTTTCATGAAACTGGCTTTTGAGGTATTTCATCTCAGTCTATGTATGTATATTGTATTTCTGTTGAACAAGGATACGCATCCATTTTGAAATTGCCACCTACTATAAGATAAAGGTTCTAGGGCAAATTCACTATAGATCCGGATCATTGTTGCCGCCGGGGACCTTCTTCATGGACATAACACTTTCGTTAGTTTATTTAAGGCGGCAAACGACCACCAAACCATAATCTTAACCGATGAATTTGTCAATGGAAATCGTGGACTGTTGGAGAAAATGTTGGACCAAAAAGATTAAATTAAAAATCAAAGAATGGGCGGGACGAAGTTCGCCGGGTCGGCTAGTATTCAAATAAAAACGAATTTTACAACTAATCTTTTGAATAAAATTGAGAAAATATTTTTGCCGCTTTTCATTGATGGTAAGTTTTGTGGTACGTTTGCAGCCAAGTCCATGAGAAAAGCTCCGCTTCGCTTCGTTCAGTGTGAACACCAGCAGCTTCGCTTTGCTCCGCCGTGCTTCGCCGTGCTTCGCTCGCCGTCGCTCGACTTTCTGTGTGATCGCGCCCTTAGAGCCATTTCAATAATATTAGAGTGGACTATCTGCCCATGTACACATTCGCATTCGCGAAACATTCGTATCATTTGATGCGAATGCGAATGTCGAATGCGAATGTGTAAAATGATGCGAATAATTCGTATAACGAATGCGAATGCGAATACTCGCAACATTGCTGATACATACGTATCGACACCTGAGTGGAAGATCGAGCTATCTCGGCAGCCAGTGCGAAAACGTCCTATCAGAACACTTCACTAATTTTTACAATTTGTGCAAGCTTTGAAACTTATATAACTGTGGTTTCTGTTACACCGTGCGACAGTAAATTTTACACACACAAAATTTTATATATTCGCAAAACCATGTGCCAAATATAGTAAAACTCCGTTTTTAGTTTTTCTCTCTGACACCAGGCTTTTTTAAGGACTTTGAAATTTGAAAAATAGAATCAAAAAATTATTTAAAAAACTAAGTGCAATGTAGGAAAACAGTATGACTATGAATTAAAGATAAAATTCTGTAGAATTAGGCCGATTAAATTTTTTGGTCACATTTTCTCATTGAAAATCCTTGAAATTTTACAATTATTTTCGAAAAAATTATATATTAAGGACTAATATGACCTCGAGCACATCCTCGAATTTCATCCTTCCAACTTTATTCGCTTAAAAAATAAAACTAATTAAAAGGACATTTTTAATACCTATACGTCCTTGTGAACCAAAAAATTTTATTTTTTTTAATTCTACAGAATTTTCTCTTTCATTTGGTGCCCATAATGTTTTTCTACATTGGAATGAATTTTTTTAATATTTTTTGGAATTAATCATATCTTTGAAACTACAAAGTCCTTTTAAAAAATCCTGACGTCAGAGAGAAAAACTAAAAATGCAGTTTTACTATATTTGGCCCACAGTTTTGTGAGTATGAAAATTATTAAAAATAAATAAACATAATTTGCAAACAATATAATTTTGAATTTCGTTCCTAGTTAGTTGATCGCATCTGTATATTTATTTTTATCTATCAAATCCATTGTTTGAAACTGTTGTACAATCAGAAAATCCAAGCTTTTTGGTTATAAAAACACATCCATTGGTTTTAATTTCAGTGAAAAATAATCAGTCTCAATGCGAGTATCGTGTCGAGAGCAAGTCCTTTCTGAGAGTCAGTCGCATCGAAAATTGCATGACAAGGCTTAATTTTTCGACCTGAATACTATATTAAAACGGAAAAACTTGGTAGCACAGGATAGTTTCCGACGATTTTCGTCGTCTACTTATTTCTAGGGATGAATCGATACGAGTAAATCTAAGTACATACTCGATACTTTTCCCAATTTACCAAGTATTTTTGTACTCGATACTTTTTACTGCGATCCAATCAGGTATCGAAAAAAAGGTACTTGTATCCATAGTGAAATAAACCACAGTATACAGCATGATACAAAAATTTTAAGGTAAAACCGCTGAGAGTCAACCTGAACATCTTTGAAGTTTACTCAACATAACAAAAATGTTTTCAAATTTTCAATCTCAAAAATACATTCTCACTTTCAATCTCAAATAAAAGAAAATTTGAATGTTTTCATCTATTTGTTTTTTGATTTACTTTTATTTGGCATTTGAGTTGCTCTCAAAATTTCAATTTTATAAAGTAGACAAACGTTTAAGAAATAAATGATGGCCGACGAATTGAGCGAGCGGTTTTACCCATGGTGAAATAATAATGTGTTGTCACTTAGGGGGTGGTTGTTGTAATTTTGGCAACTCCGGCATACCAGCGTTACAGTCATGCCTACTCTATTCATTCCAATTTCATTTCTGGGCAAAATGGAACAAAAAATGGAGCAGACAATTTTGTGAAAAAGTATGCGTAGGTATCACTTACTACGTTTATTCGCACGTATTATTTGCAAATAACAATTTGGAAAATGGTAAACTTTGCGGTATAAACGCTGAGTTAATTTTTTATTTGCAAATAACTAAATCACGCAAATAAGTATTGATTAGTGGTACTATTTGCAAATAAACGCAAGACGCCGCCGTTCTTAGGTTTATTTTCTTTTTCGATGGTCATCTTTTGCCTTTTAAAAATCAAAACGTTGCCATTTCTAATTTTATTTTCATTTTCGATGGTCATATTATTACCTTTTTATTATCAGGCAATATTAAAAAAGAATTTTTCACCGTCGAATACACAGTGAGTTAGGTATTTGCAAATCATTTTTTTTTGCAAATAGCTTACGTATAAACGTAGTAACTGTTTCTTTGTTTCGCTTTTGCTTTGACTTTTCGTTTCAAATTCATTGGAACATTTAAGCAATAATTTCCAATAATTGTGATTTTGTAAGTAAATTTTTGGTAAAATATATACTGTATATATGCAACTGATTATTGGAGCAGTGCCTCGGATGGCTACGATAAAGCACTTTGGTGTAACAATTTAAACGCATAATTATTTTATAATATAACTGATAGAATTCAGAAATGTAATTTTAAACTGTTAACGAAAATAAAAGTTATAATAAAATTTCCTCTACATGTACTTCAGAACTTAACAGTAATAAAATAATAAAAATCCATACGGGCTAATATGTCATTTTTAGTAGAATTTAAGAATAATTAACCCTAGAGTATTCGCGCCCTTCCGTGAAGCGCGAGTGATCGCGTGGGGAGCATTTTGCCGCCCATATTTAAAAAGCTGTTGTGTCGCAATTAATAGTCTAGTGAATTTAAAATTATTTTATTAAGCAAGAATGAAATATAAACTAAGCGTTAGAGCAACATTTATTAAAATTTTACTATTGTATATAACAACGCTTGATCTTTACAAATGTGTTGTTTGAAAAATAGCATGCAGTTTTTCCCCGGGCGGCGAAATACTCATGGCGCGAGCACTCTAGGGTTAAATCAAGATAACGGTATAATTTAATTTGTTTTAATACGAATAAATGAAAGACGGAAAATAGTCCTTATTTTTTAAGTTTTAACCATCATCATATGTTTTACAAATAATAATTTTAAGGTAGAAAAATATAACTGAATAATAATTATTAAAATCAATATATTTGATCGAAAAATAAAAATTAAGTAATAATAATTTCTTTTGAGCGAAAAAATGAATCTGCAATTACACTGGTTAAAAAAAAAAAATATTTTCTTGATGCAAGCTTCATTTAACCGGTGTGGGGTCCACTGATGTTTGTATGTATTGGAAATTGTACCCAAAAAGTAGTAAAAATAATCCTAATATTTTCCCCTTTTTCTACTACCTCAAAATGCATGGCCGCAATTGGCATGCAGAAAAAGTGAGGTTATGTAAGTGACATCACCTTATATTTATTTCACCATGGGTTTTACCCATGATAAAAACCAAGGCATATTAAATAAGGTAGAAGTGATTTTGGCATGTCTCTCTTTTGACTATAATGTCAAATGATGAATAACTTTTAACCGTTTTCATGTCGGCATTTTCTATTTTTCGTTAAAAATTCAATTGCGTGCTGTGAGATAGTTTTGAATCGTGTGATGTTTTTTTTTTTGTTTTTCGACCACATCTTTATAGATACATATACAAAAATGACAAGGAGCAGGAACTACGAGCGTTGCGGTATGTGTGGCAAGCAGTGTTGCCAGAACTTTTTGGACCAACC